GACTGGTAGACCTGAACACATTATTGCAACAGGGGATATGGTGAGATTACCGTCTAGCTCCATAGTGGACCAAGGCGGCCCTCTGCCCTCCCTAAAAGCCCGCATCCAGGTGGATAGTTTCACAATATTGGCAGCCCAATAATAATACATAAAGTTTGGTAGGGCCAGGCCGCCTTCCGACTTAGAACACTGTAACAGGGATTTACGGATTCTTGGAACTTTTTTGTCCCAAATAAAAGATGATATGAGTCAGTCTAACTGGGTGAAAAAGGTTTTAGGAAGAAAAAGGGGTATCATCTGGAAGAGGTACATAAATCGAGGCAAGACTACCATTTTAATTGTGTTGACCCGCCCAGCAAGAGAGATGGGTAATACTGACCAGCGTGCCAAATCCGATTTTGTTTTCTCTAATGTTTAAAAAGATCCTGATAAGTGTCTGTGATTTGAATACCCAAACAGGTGAATGAGGAGTGTTCCAGTCTAAACTGAAAAGCTGAGTAGTCAGTAGCCTCCTTCACCAGACTGTTAACAGGGAACAGCGTGCTTTTAGCCAGGTTCAAACTGTAACCAGACAGGCGCCCAAAGGATCCAATGAGGTCCAGAACTGAAGGAATTGATGCCTCCGGATCTGTAATATACAGAAGGAGATCATCTGCATACAAGGAGCACTTATGAATAGTGATCCCCCTTATTCTGGGGTCCGTTCTCAATGCTGCTGCCAGCGGCTCTATTACCAGATTGAATAGCAGGGGGCTTAAGGGGCATCCCTGTCGGGTGCCTCTATGTAAGGAAAAGTATTCAGAAATAGTCTTATTGGTGCAGACTGAATACAGAGTCCTGATCCATGAAATAAAATTAGAACCGAAGCCAAATATTTTTCAAAACAGAGAACAGATATTGCTAATCCACGCAGTCAAAATCCTTCTCGGCATCCAGTGACACTATTATCTCGGGGTGATCAACAGAGTGGTCAGAATATAGGATATTTAACAGCCGTCTGATATTGAAATATGACTGCCATTTCACTATAAAGCCTGTTTGGTCCTCGTGTATAATAGAAGGTACTACCTCCTCAATACGAAGTGCAAGAGCTTTTGTGAGGATCTTATAATCCACATTCAGTAGACTAATGGGACGATAGGATCCACATTTTTGAGGGTCCTTGTCTTTTTTGAGTATTACAGAGACAGTGGCTTGGGACAGAGTTTGTGGCAACGTGCTTGTTGCCTGAATTTCTGAAAAAACATCAGACAGTAAAGAAACTAACTTGCCAGCAAAGCGTTTATAGAAATCACACGCACCACCTGACCGGAGTCTAACTGTATGTCGGGTATAGACTGAGCTGCGGCGGATTGACGAAGCTGATGCGAAAGATATCTACTTGCTTTTTCACCATGCTCGTATTTATGATGTCTTGATCTAAGTAGGAGCTTCTCAGTTTCTTTAATTGAGATGGTGTCAAATTCAGACTGCAGCAGTACCTTCTGCTTATATAGATAAGCGGTTGGACAGGTAGCATATTGTGTGTCAATGTTAGCTATGAGCTCTGTCAGCTCTCGGAGCGTCCGTTTCGCTTTTTATTCTTATGAGACGAAAAAGAAATAAT